CTCGAACGCGACGCCCATGAAGCGGCCCCAAGGCAAGCTGTTCTAGATAACTGGAGTGCAAGGGGCTGGGTATGCGCAGAACCTGCGCGCGGGCCACGTGGGGGCTGGCAAACGCAATGCGCAGGTCAGGAAGGACAGACTCAAGCAGGCCGCGGCCAGGCTGCCACGTCTACGACGACTACTAGGGCTTCGGAGAGGACGCCAGGCCGCCGCTAAGGTGGCATGCACAGGGCTCATGCCGAACATCATGTGCGGGACGCCCCGCGCGGGCTTGTCGGATTTCGAGCTGAAGCAGACGAGGTCCTTGATTTTGAAGGCGGTCGGGGCTCGGCCTCAGGGCAAGTCCACTACCGCCTGCCTCATGATAGGAGGCCCGAAAGAGATACATCCCATCTACGTCGCTACGCTCCAGCCTGTCGGAACTTTGGCTAGGGCCGTCTGGGGGGCGTGGCTGCCCATCAGCCAGCTCAGGGCCACCTTCAACTGCGCCGAGAACATCGCCGGGTGGGGCCAGGTGAAGGGGCCCAGTGGGGCTGCGGCGCTCTCTCTGAAGCGACTCGGCTACGCGCTGAGCGACTTCGAGATGTGGGCCAGGCCAGATAGCAGCGGGTCTCTGAATGTCGGTGACATGTCACCTTGGCACATCAAGCAGGTGCGCGAGCTCGACATTCAGCGATGGCAGTGCTCCAGCACTTGGCCAAGAACACCCACGAGGATATCATATACGGGGCACCACGGCAAGGGGACTTTGCCTGAGGGCAATGAGTGGAGGCCACTCGCGGAAGCCCAGAGGCTATGCCAGGTCTGTTTTGGTCAAAGGGCAATGGCTCAATTCGCGGGGGTGCGGCGCCTCCCCTCGCCTCGCGCCGACGCCGTACTGCAAGCGCCATCTTGATGTTGAGGGCGCGTTGTGGCATCGACATCTGGGGTGCTCGAGCAGCCGGCCCAGCGCAATCCTGCCAGTTGAGCTCGAGAAGTTCAAGGCCTTCCAGACCTCGAGCGACTGCTGCTGCCAGGTCCGCAGGTTGTGGAGGCCGCCGCTGGAAAATTTCCTGGGCTGGCTGCAGTGGATCAAGGGCGACGGCGTGCCCTTCATGAACACAGAGGTCTTCGCGGGCGGCTGCTGCTGCGAGGCGGGCGCTTCGATGGCCGCGTCGACGTGCGCGGCCGTGGAGCTTCCGCCCGGCGACAAGGGGGCCGACCCTGGGCGCCGCTCGTCCGCCAGGGCCTTGGGGGCATCGCTGCCGGGGCCGCTGCGGGCCATTGAGGGCGCCGAGCAGCTGGCGCTGCTGGCCATCCTGAGGCACTCGGTCGCACCTATCAGCGCCTACTTCGGCGCCTCTCTCGTGGTCAATGGGCTGCTGGAACGATGAAGGGCTGCGACTGCCGCCCGCGAGGCGGCCTGTGCGGAGATCTGGGGGCTCATCTGGACTGCGCTGGGCGACTTCGGCGGCGTCGAAGATACTGGGGTCATTATCGTGGAGGCCAAAGGCCACGGCGCTCTCCTGTATGTCGAAGCTGGCAAGGTTACCGCGCGTGGGAGGCGTGGCAACCACGAGGTAGACAGGTGCGCGAGGTTCGTGGCGGACCAGTTCAGAGCGCCAGCCGCCGACAGGCAGGCCGGGCGAACCAGGGAGCTCACTCTGGACGCCATGTTCTGCTGGGTTGCGATTGCTGGCGCGCTGGCGGCAGAGCTGCGCAGCGACTTCGAGTGCGTCTACGTGGGGCCGTCGACTCGTCGACCAAGGGGCCCAAACTGTACATCGTGCAGCGCGACGTCATCAAAGTCCCAGGCGGCTTTCATTGTCGCCGTTGCCTGCTGTCGGCGTTCGCAGGCGCGGGCGCCGAGAAGTTCCGCGCGGGGCACTGCCGCGCGCTGCCGTTTAAGCCGGCGCTGCTGGCGCCAGCGGGGCCCGCGAGCCCCTGCCTCTCCAGTGCTGGCGCTGGCTGGCCTGGTGGCTGCGTCCGTGGACGCGGCATCTTCGTCGCAGGGCCGCGCCGGCGAGGCCGCGAACCGGCGGGGGTCGGCGCCGAGGCCGCCGGGGCCTGAGGTGCGTGGCTCAGGCGATGCGGACTGGGTGGGCCCCAACGGGCGCGAGCTGAGCACGTTCCGCGGGTGCAGGATCTGCTTGCGATGCAACCTGCACGCCAAGGTGGTCAATGGCAAGCACAGGGGCCTTGCGGCGAAGTGCCAGAAGGCGGAGAAAGCTTCGGCCCATGCAGAGAGAGAGAGAGAGAGAGAGAGAGAGAGAGAGAGAGAGAGAGAGAGAGAGGAAGGCGGACAGGATCAAGAGGGGTCTCGATCCGTGGACGGGCAAGCCGTTGCAAGGACGTGATCGCCCGCGCAGCTCTTCGCTTTTACTGGCTGCCTTCGCGGGCGCCTTCTCGTCCGCGCTCGGGCATTTTGCTTTGGGCGCTCCCGGCCCGCGCAGCCTGCGCCCCTCCTGGCTGCCTGCGCGGGCGCCTGCCTCTCCCTGCCCCTCGCCTGTTGAGGCCGCTGTTTGCGAGCCTCCAGTGGCGGCGAACGCGCTGCCTGGGTTGCGGGAGCTGCAGGGTGCGGATCTTGGCGCGCGGCGCGCCATGCTGCTGGAGGAGAGAGATTCTCGCCCGCCGAGGACGCGACCTATGGCGCAACCCATAGGATGCGGTTTTAGTCTCGGCCGCCAAGGTCACAACCAATGGCGTACCCGATAGGAGACGGTTTCATACTCGGCCGACGAGGGCGCAACCGATGGCGCAACCGATAGGAAACGGTTTAATTCTCGGCCGCCGAGGGCGCAACCTATGGTGCAACCGATACGAGACAGTTTTGTTCTCAGCCGCCGAAGACGCAACGTATGGCGCACCCGATACGCGACGGTTTTTTCTTCTCGGCTGCCCAGGGCGCCACCTATAGCGCAACCGATTGGAAACGGTTTAATTCTCGGCCGCCGAGGGCGCAACCGATGGCGCAACCGATAGGATGCAGTTTTTTTTTGCTGGGCGTGGCGCAACCTATGGCGCAACCGATAGGAGACGGTTTATTTTCTGCCGCCGACCCCCGAGAAAATCTATGGGGGTCATGCAACGCACCGCGAAGGCAAAACATCCACGGCATCTTGTATCGTCCATCAACATGCAACGGCACCATTGCAGCTTTCAGCGCTGAATTGTACCTGCGCTTGGTGCCATTGGTGGCTAATCTGTGCGAATCTCGGCGGCCACGGCCGATCTCTCAACTATCTGCGAATCGGGCCCGGGACAAAATTCACGCGCTCCGCGTGGTTGTCGCGTCCACGTCACGTTGACAGACCTCGAACGCCTGCGTTTCATTTCGCAGTCCTGCAGCGTCAGGATGTGTACTTCTCGTCTGGTCACGCTACCCACTCCCATACATGATAGGCTTGTTTTCCACCACCACCACCATAAGTTGGAGGAGGGGGAGGCGGTGGAGGAGGAGGAGGAGGAGGAGGACCCCCCCCCCTCCTACTCATGGTGGTGGTGGTGGTGGTGGAAAACAAACCCACCAATACAGCATCTGGTCAGCGAGGCGCCCAGCGCCTCGTTGCGTTTCGACAGGCTCGGGCTTCCCGCTTCATGCGCAACCTGCGATTACTGACTTCGCCACGGACGTTCCTGCGCTTCCGCGGCGGTGATCCTTCAAAAACTGCGACTCTTTTCTTGAGCGCGAGCTCGATCTCTTAACGCTACGTCTACGGCGCGCGCCTGCTTTGCGCATGCGCGCGCGAGAGAGCAGCTGCGCCAAGTCGCTTTCGAGCGACGCGCGGGTTCGCCCCCGCAAAGTGCGCCAACGTGTCAATCGCACACGCCGGGCAAATCCCAAGAAGGCTTTCGTCTGCCCGATCCTCCCTCCGCCTTCTTTTCCTTCCTTTTCTCATCGACGTAAGGGACCCTGGCCCCCTATGACACCCTCCACTGGCTTGGGTGGTCCACTCAGGCCGCGGGGGGGAATAGGGGGGGGTTAAGGTTTTCTTTTCCCAACCAGCATATATCTCGTCGCCACTAGGGGTGGGGGCACCGTTCCGTCGGATGGGCACACCTCCTCTCCAGGAGCTCTCGACCCCATCCCGCGTCCTTCTACGTCTTCCCCCCCCCCCCTCCCCCTTCTCGCATTCCATTGCCTGCCTTCGGCGTGTCCCCAGTCGGCCGCTCAGCCGAAGGAGCTGGGGCAGAAGGAAGACGATGAGGATGAGGAGGAGGAGGAGGAGGAGGAGGAGGAGGAGGAGGAGGACGGGGAGGGGGACGACGACGACGATCAGGATGGGGAGGAGGACGGGAAGGAATAGTAGTAGTAGTAGTAGTACGAGGACGCGGTGTGGGCATTCGTGCGTGCGGGGCTACGTCCGAATTATGCTCGCCGTTTGGGGTGGCTGTGTGGCCCAAGCGGCGAGCTTTCTTGTGATTTCCACCATCCACTTTGTCCCCGACGCTGACCTTCGGGGCCCCGCTTGCCCTACCGTACCCCACCTCTCAATAGCTGGTTCGACTTTCGTCACATGTCATTCGACTCGAATGAAGTTGGCCCAGCCACGAATCCGCCTCCTTTTTCGATGTTTGTGGACGTCATCACGCCCACCTGACCCTTCTGGCAGCACTCACATTGTCAGTTGCTCCCTGATAGCGCAGCGACACTCCCAACGCCGACGTATCCCGAGCTGTCCCAGTCGCTTGATCTCATTGCGTCTGCGAAGTGTGTGTGTGTGGTCATCGTCATCATCATCATCATCATCATCATCATCATCATCATCATCATCATCATCATCATCATCATCATCATCATCATCATCATCATCATCATCATCATCATCATCATCATCATCATCATCATCATCATCATCATCATCATCATCATCATCATCATCATCATCATCATCATCATCATCATCATCATCATCATCATCATCATCATCATCATCATCATCATCATCATCATTATCATTATCATTATCATTATCATCATCATCATCATCATCATCATCATCATCATCATCATCATCGTCGTCGTCGTCGTCGTCGTCGTCGTCGTCGTCGTCGTCGTTATCATGATCACTATGACCATCATCTGCAGCCGTTTTGGCTCCCCCGCTGCTGGTCGAGTCAGCGTGGACGTGTTTTTGAAACGAGAGTGCTTCCCTTGTTGGTGTTCAGTCCAGCCTCTCCACTTTTTGTAAATTTCGTCATCATTGTCTAGCAATGGCTAATTCGTCCACCCTAGCTTCCGCCGCGCTCGTGGCTGCTGCCGCGGCAGCCCTTTGCGGGGGCTTGTCCTTCGTAGCACCATCAAGCCAGGCTCAGTTGCAGATGCCCGTCCAGTCGCAATCTGCCTTGGGCGCCCCCGAGTCGACCACCCCACTGCCAGTGGCCAGCTCGGCGCCAGCAGCCGTCAGCCTTGCCCTGATTGGCCTCTCTGCAGCGTTTGCGTTCGCATCCCGCCAGGCCCTCGCCGCCACCCGCAAGGCCACGACCGTGCCCGCACGGAACCGTCTGGTATCCGTCGCTGCGTTCGAGAGCGAGCTGGGCGTTCAGGACCCGGTGGGCTTCTGGGACCCTGCTGGGTTCACGGCGGATGGTAGCACGGAGAATTTCGCCAGGCGACGCCAGACAGAGCTGAAGCACGGCCGCGTGAGCATGCTGGCTACCATGGGCTACATCACGCCTGAAATCACCGGCAAGCTGCCTGGCTATCTGTCGCCTTCGGCTGGCCTGAAGTTCGCAGACATCCCGAACGGGCTCGGCGCGATCTCCAAGGTTCCCGCGGCGGGCTGGGCGCAGATCGTGGCGTACGGCGCGTTCTGCGAGCTGTCCCAGGACCAGTCCGCTGGCACCGCTGCCGCGGCCGGCGACTTCGGCTTCAAGGTGCTTACGTCCAGCGACCCCGCGGAGAAGCAGAAGAAGCTTGCGGCAGAGATCGCGAACGGTCGCCTTGCCATGATGGCCATCATCGGCATGTTCTTCCAGGACGGTTGACGGGCTCCGCCTGGGGCGACTGGGCGCTCTACACGGGATCCCCGCTGCGCGCGTTCGAGAGCGAGCTTGGCGTTCAGGACCCGGTGGGCTTCTGGGACCCTGCTGGGTTCACGGCGGATGGTAGCACGGCGAACTTCGCCAGGAGGCGCCAGACAGAGCTGAAGCACGGCCGCGTGAGCATGCTGGCGACCATGGGCTACATCACGCCCGAAATCACCGGCAAGCTGCCAGGCTACCTGTCGCCTTCGGCTGGCCTGAAGTTCGCGGACATCCCGAACGGGCTCGGTGCGATCTCCAAGGTTCCCGCGGCGGGCTGGGCGCAGATCGTGGCGTACGGCGCGTTCTGCGAGCTGTCCCAGGACCAGTCCGCTGGCACCGCTGCCGCGGCCGGCGACTTCGGCTTCAAGGTGCTTACGTCCAGCGACCCCGCGGAGAAGCAGAAGAAGCTGGCGGCGGAGATCGCGAATGGCCGCCTTGCCATGATGGCCATCATCGGCATGTTCTTCCAGGACGGTCTGACTGGCTCCGCCTGGGGCGACTGGGCGCTCTGGGGCGACTGGGCGCTCTACACGGGATCCCCGCTGCGCGCGTTCGAGAGCGAGCTTGGCGTTCAGGACCCGGTGGGCTTCTGGGACCCTGCTGGGTTCACGGCGGATGGTAGCACGGAGAATTTCGCCAGGCGACGCCAGACAGAGCTGAAGCACGGCCGCGTGAGCATGCTGGCTACCATGGGCTACATCACGCCTGAAATCACCGGCAAGCTGCCTGGCTAATCCGGCGACTTTTGCGAAACGTGTTGCAGAATCCCAACGGCCTGGCCGCCATCTCCAAGGTTTCCCGCGGCGGGCGCTGGGGGCGCAGATCGTGGGCGTACGGGCGCGTTTCTGCGAGCTTGTCCCAGGACAAGTCGTGGCACGCTGCCGCGGCTGGCGACTTCGCTTCAAAGGGTGCTTACATCCAGCGGGCCACGCGGAAGAAGCAGAAGAAGCTTGCGGCCAGAGATCGCTAACGGTCGCCTTGCCATGATGGCCATCATCGGCATGTTCTTCCAGGACGGTCTGACGGGCTCCGCCTGGGGCGACTGGGCGCTCTACACGGGATCCCCGCTGCGCGCGTTCGAGAGCATGCCGTGTTGTGGGACTGACGTGCAGGTTCTGAGTGAGTGGGAGTTGCCTGCTGGGGAGCTTTGGCTTTAGGGAACCGGTGGGGCTTTCGGGGGACCCTGCTGGGTTCACGGCGGATGGTAGCACGGAGAATTTCGCCAGGCGACGCCAGACAGAGCTGAAGCACGGCCGCGTGAGCATGCTGGCTACCATGGGCTACATCACGCCTGAAATCACCGGCAAGCTGCCTGGCTATCTGTCGCCTTCGGCTGGCCTGAAGTTCGCAGACATCCCGAACGGGCTCGGCGCGATCTCCAAGGTTCCCGCGGCGGGCTGGGCGCAGATCGTGGCGTACGGCGCGTTCTGCGAGCTGTCCCAGGACCAGTCCGCTGGCACGCTCTTTTATGACGCGGCTGGCGACTTTTTTATTTTCATTTTTTTTTTTCTTTTTTTTTTTTCGGCTTCAAGGTGCTTACAGCCAGCGACCCCGCCGGAGAAGACAGAAGAAGCTTGCGGCAGAGATCGCGAACGGTCGGCCGTGCCTGATGGCCAATCATCGGCATGTTCTTTCCAGGACGGTTGACGGGCTTCCGCCTGGGGCGACTGGGGCTCTACACGGATCCCGCTGCGCGCGTTCGAGAGCGAGCTTGGGTCAGGACCCGGTGGGCTTAACCTTCTGGGGACCCTTGCTGGGCTTCACGGCGGATGTAGCACGGAGAATTTCGCAGGCGGGACGCCAGACAGAGCTGAAGCACGGCCGCGTGAGCATGCTGGCGACCATGGGCTACATCACGCCCGAAATCACCGGCAAGCTGCCAGGCTACCTGTCGCCTTCGGCTGGCCTGAAGTTCGCGGACATCCCGAACGGGCTCGGCGCGATCTCCAAGGTTCCCGCAGCGGGCTGGGCGCAGATCGTGGCGTACGGCGCGTTCTGCGAGCTGTCCCAGGACCAATCCGCTGGAACCGCTGCCGCGGCCGGCAACTTCGGCTTCAAGGTGCTTACGTCCAGCAACCCCGCGGAGAAGCAGAAGAAGCTTGCGGCGGAGATCGCGAACGGTCGCCTTGCCATGATGGCCATCATCGGCATGTTCTTCCAGGACGGTCTGACTGGCTCCGCCTGGGGCGACTGGGCGCTCTACACGGGATCCCCTCTGCGCGCGTTCGAGAGCGAGCTTGGCGTTCAGGACCCGGTGGGCTTCTGGACCCTGCTGGGTTCACGGCGGATGGTAGCACGGCGAACTTCGCCAGGAGGCGCCAGACAGAGCTGAAGCACGGCCGCGTGAGCATGCTGGCGACGATGGGTTACATCACGCCCGAGATCACAGGCAAGCTGCCCGGCTACTTGTCGCCTTCGGCTGGCCTGAAGTTCGCGGACATCCCGAACGGGCTCGGTGCGATCTCCAAGGTTCCCGCGGCGGGCTGGGCGCAGATCGTGGCGTACGGCGCGTTCTGCGAGCTGTCCCAGGACCAGTCCGCTGGCACCGCTGCCGCGGCGGGTGACTTCGGGTTCAAGGTGCTGACGTCCAGCGACGCCGGGGAGAAGCAGAAGAAGTTGGCAGCTGAGATCGCCAACGGTCGTCTGGCCATGATGGCGATCATCGGCATGTTCTTCCAGGACGGCCTGACCGGCTCTGCCTGGGGCGACTGGGCGCTCTACACTGGGTCTCCGCTGCGCGCGTTCGAGACTGAGCTGGGCGTGCAGGACCCAGTTGGCTTCTGGGACCCTGTTGGGTTCACGGCGGATGGTAGCACGGCTAATTTCGCCCGCCGGCGCCAGACCGAACTGAAGCACGGCCGCGTGAGTATGCTGGCGACGATGGGCTACATCACCCCAGAGATTACCGGCAAGCTGCCCGGGTATTTGTCGCCGTCCGCGGGCCTGAAGTTCGCGGACATCCCGAACGGGCTCGGTGCGATCTCCAAGGTTCCCGCGGCGGGCTGGGCGCAGATCGTGGCGTACGGCGCGTTCTGCGAGCTGTCCCAGGACCAGTCCGCTGGCACCGCTGCCGCGGCTGGCGACTTCGGCTTCAAGGTGCTTACATCCAGCGACCCCGCGGAGAAGCAGAAAAAGCTTGCGGCGGAGATCGCGAACGGTCGCCTTGCCATGATGGCCATCATCGGCATGTTCTTCCAGGACGGTCTGACGGGCTCCGCCTGGGGCGACTGGGCGCTCTACACGGGATCCCCGCTGCGCGCGTTCGAGAGCGAGCTTGGCGTTCAGGCCCCTGTGGGATTCTTTGACCCGCTGGGGCTGACCAAGGACGGCGATACCACCACGTTCTTGCGCCGCCGCAACACCGAGATCAAGCACGGGCGCGGAGGAGCGTGAAAAGGGGGGGGAGGATTCAGAGGGTGATGTGATGGTGCTTCTGATGAGGATGAGAAGAATGACCAGGCAGGCTCAGGATGTGAGCGCACAAGTCGGCCTTCAAGAGGGTTCCAGCTCCCCATCTTGTCAGAAGCCCTTCCGCGTCCCAAGAAGCTTTGTAGAAGGGGCCGGCCCCTCCCCAGTTCTAAGCAGCCTGCTGCCTCCTCAGAGTTGTTGACGCTTCGCACACCCCCACCAGCTCATTCAGAAACGGTACCAAGAGATTACATGCGTTAAATGACAGCTCGCGAGCAGGCCGAGCAGTCCTGAAAGTGAATTCTATATGACATTTTTTTATCAACGGATTGGGAGCTTACAAGAGGAGGATGACGAATCAACCATGAAGGCTGTTGCGACTGCGGAGCTTTCGCTCTGGGAGGGGTTCTGTTGGGGCCTTTTCGGAGCCCTCTTCGGTGCCTTGGGAGCCTTCTTGGAGCCATCTTGGAGGACACCGATCAAAGAGAGGGGGTTCTCGGAGGGCATCGATCAAAGAGGGGGGGATTCTTGAAGATGTCCCCGGAAAGCCAGCATCTTTCAGAAGAATTGGTTTTTCAATGTTTCTGCTGATCGGAGAGAGGGGGTGCCCTGGATTAGCCTTGTCCCTGTGGACCCCCTACATCACCTTTTGGGGCGCTCACTCGGACCCGTTTTGGAGCGGTCGTGGAGCCTCCTGGAGCATGCTGGATGCCATCTTGAGCCAGCCGTCTTGGGCCCTCTTGAACCATCTCGAAGGCCATCGTGGCCTCTCTAGACCCTCTAAGAGCCATCTTGGGCCATGTTGGATGCTGCAGCGCCTCGTGGGGCGGCCAGTCTAAACCCAGGAGGGGATTGCCGCCCTGCCTGCTCAGAGAGGTTCGTTCCCTTCCCTCGTCTCGCGCAGGCGCGTCGCCATGTGGGCTTGCATTGGGTACATCGTGCCCGAGTACTTCCGGTGGCCTGGCTTCTGCTCGCCGTCAGCTGGTGTCTCGTTCGCGGACGTGCCGAACGGCCTGGCGGCACTGTCCAAGGTGCCCAGGGCTGGCTGAGCCCAGGTCATTGCCCCTTGTGGTGTTGTGGGAGGAGGAGGGGGAGGGGGACTTCTGTTGTTTTAGTGCATGTTTTCGGAGGTGTTCCCAGAGGCTCTTCTTGGGAGGTCTCGAGGGGGAGGGCTGAGGGGGAGCAACCCTCTCAAAGGTGCCTGCCTTTGGCTGGTGCCAGATCATCGCCTTCTGCGGTTCCTTGGAGAAGAACGTGTTCGTGTACGACCCCCGCCGTGGCCCTGGCGACTTCGACACCGCTGGCGCGCTGGGCGTGCCTGGGGCAAAGGGCATGGACGACCCCGAGTCGCGGAAGAAGAAGCTCAACGCCGAGATCGCAAATGGCCGCCTCGCAATGATGGCCGTCATCGGCATGTTCTACCAGGACGGCCTCACTGGCTCGGCCTGGGGCGACTGGGCCCTCTACACCGACTCACCCCTGCGGGCCTACGAGAATGAGCTGGGCGTGCAGGCGCCGGTCGGCTTCTGGGACCCTGCAGGGTACTGCGTGGATGGCTCCGCTGCCGACTTCACGAGGCGCCGCGTTACGGAGATCAAGCACGGCCGCGTGGCTATGTGGGCTTGCATGGGGTACATCGTCCCCGAGTACTTCAAGTGGCCAGGGTTTCTGTCACCGACCGCTGGCATCAAGTTCACGGACGTGCCGAACGGCCTGGGAGCCCTCTCGAAGGTGCCGGCTTACGGCTGGGTCCAGATGATCGCCTTCGCTGGCGCCCTCGACACTGGCTTCTTCGTGTACGACGAATCCCGCGAGCCCGGCGACTATGCCAATGGCGGCGTCTTGGGCGTCCCGAACGCCAGCGGCCCGATGGAGGACAAGGATGCTCGCAAGACGAAGCTCAACGCTGAGCTTGCGAACGGTCGGCTGGCAATGATGGCTATCATCGGCATGTTCTTCCAGGACGGCCTCACCGGCAGCGCATGGGGCGACTGGGCGCTGTACACTGGCTCCCCGCTCCGCTGAGCGTGCGCGAAGCCTCGGCGTTCTTACCGCGCACTGGGGCCAATGACAAAACCGGAGCAGCCCTTCTCCTCTTCCTCCGATGCCCCACCCTCTCCCCCTCGCCTTCTCTTCGCGGGGCAGTTGCGTCGAGCGCCCCGCCTCTCTACTAATCGCGGTTTGCCAGGTGAGCCCACTTTCCACAGGTTACGCCATATGCTGCAGCAGGCACCTACTCGGGTCACTACATTGCGACGTCCATGGTCTGATTTTACCTCCCCTTGGTTGCGCCAGAGGTTCCGGCAGACACCCATTCGAGACACAAAGTTGCTTAGCCCATTTGGAGTCTACCCTCCGTGAGTTGCGCTTCGGGCCACCATCACGACGCCCATTTTGAAGTTTGCCTTTCATTTACGTCTTGCTCGATCAGTTACACCACACAAGGTTCTGGTGGACAATCTATTCGGCAGCCAAGTCGAGACTGCAGCTCCTGCACATCACAACTAGGACTTCGTGCGTAGTATGGTAGCAGCACCGTGCAGAACTACCATATTGGAGGAGGTGGTGGTAGTAGTAGTAGTAGTAGTAGTAGTAGTAGTAGTAGTAGCAGTGGAAGTAGTAGCAGTGGAAGTAGTAGCAGTGACAGTAGTAGTAGTAGTAGTAGTAGTAGTAGTAGTAGTAGTAGCAGTCGTCGGAGTAGCAGTAGTAGTAGTAGTAGTAGTAGTAGTAGTAGTAGTAGTAGTGGTGGTAGTAGTAGTGGTCGTAGTAGTAGTAGTAGTTGTAGTAGTCGTAGTCGGTAGTAGATAGTAGTAGTAGTAGTAGTGGTAGTAGTAGTAGTCGTAGTAGTAGCAGTGGGATGTTAAGTGGTGTAGTAGTAGTAGTAGTAGTTAGTAGCAGCTGGCAGTTAGTGTAGTGGTAGTACTAGTCGTAAGTAGTAGTAGTAGTAGTAGTAGTACGTAGTAGTAGTTGTTGTAGTAGTAGTAGTAGTTAGTAGTTAGTGTCGTAGTTCGTAGTGTAGTAGTCGTAGTTGTGTAGTAGTCGTTGTTAGTCGTAGTAGTAGTTAGTCGTGAGTATAGTGGTAGTTATAGTAGTTCGTAGTGAGTAGTGTGCAGTCGTAGTAGTAGTAGTGGTGTAGTAGTAGTAGTCGTATAGTAGTTTTAAGTTATGGTAGTGGTAGGTGGTAGGTAGTAGGTTCGTAGGGAGTAGGTCGTAGGTAGTAGGTAGTAGGTAGTAGGTAGTAAGTAGTAAGTAGATAGTAGTTTAGTGTCGTGTTAGTAGTTTAGTTAGAAGTAGTGTAGTTCGTCGTAGTTTAGTAGTTGGTAGCAGGCATAGTAGTAGTAGTTAGTAGTAGTAGTAGTAGTAGTAGTAGTAGTAGTAGTAGTAGTAGTAGTAGTAGTAGTAGTAGTAGTAGTAGTAGTAGTAGTTAAGTAGTAGTAGTAGTAGTAGTAGTAGTAGTAGTAGTAGTAGTAGTAGTAGTAGTAGTAGTAGTAGTAGTAGTAGTTGTAGTAGTAGTATTTGTTTTTGTAGTATTCGTAGTAGGAGTAGTAGTAGTCGTAGTAGTCGTAGTAATCATGCTAGTAGCAGTAGTAGTCGGAGTAGTAGTAGTAGTAGTAGTAGTAGTAGTAGAATTTGTTTTTGTAGTATTCGTAGTAGGAGTAGTAGTAGTCGTAGTAGTCGTAGTAATCATGATCGTAGCAGTAGTAGTAGGAGTAGTAGTAGTAGTAGTCGTAGTCGTAGTCGTAGTCGTAGTAGTGGTAGCCGTAGTAGAGTAGTAGTAGAAGCAGTAGTAGCAGCAGCCATCGTAGTAGTAGCAGTAGTAGTAGTAGTAGTAGTAGTAGTAGTAGTAGTAGTAGTAGTAGTAGTAGTAGTAGTGAAGTTTTGAAGTAGTAGTCGTAGTAGTAGTAGTAGTAGGTAGTAGTAAGTAGTAGTAATCGTAGTGGTAGCAGTCGTCGTAGTGGCAAATGTAGTCGTAGTAGTAGTAGTAGTTAGTAGTAGTTAGTAGTATTAGTTGTAGTCTTAGTGAGTCGTAGTAGTCGTAGTTAGTAGTAGTAGATCATAAAAATCGTTCGTCGTAGTCGAGGAGAGGTCCGTAGCTGTAGTAGTAGTAGTATGTATTAGTAGTAGTAGTTGTAGTTAGTATTAGTGAGTAGTAGTAGTAGTAGTGTTAGTTAGTTGTAGTATTAGTAGTAGTAGTTGTAGTAGTAGTAGTAGTAGTAGTAGTAGTAGTAGCAGCAGCAGTAGTAGTAGTAGTAGTAGTAGTAGTTGTTATAGTAGTAGATGAAGCAGTAGTAGTAAGAGTGGTAGTAGTAGCAGTAGTAGAACTCGTAGTAGCAGTAGTGGTAGTAGTAGTCGTAGCTGTAGCAGTAGTAGTTCTAGTAGTAGTCGTAGTCGTCGTAGTAGGCTTGGTCGTAGAAGTAGTAGTAGTAGTAGTAGTAGTGGTAGAAGACGTAGTAGTAGTAGTAGTAGTTGTAGTAGTAGTAGTAGTAGTCGTAGTTGTAGTAGTGATCGTAGTAGCAGTAGCAGTAGTAGTAGTAGTAGTAGTCGTAGTAGTAGTAGTAGTAGTAGTAGTAGTAGTGGTAGTAGTAGTAGTAGTAGTAGTAGTAGTAGTATTAGTAATAGTAGTATGAGTAGCAGTAGTAGCAATAGTAGTAGTAGCAGCAGTAGCAGTAGTAGTAGTATTAGTAGTAGCAGCAGCAGTAGTAGTAGTAGTAGTAGTAGTAGTAGTAGTAATCGTAGTCTGAGTAGCAGTAGTAGTAGTAGTACTAGTAGCAGTAGTAGTAGTAGTA